TTTTTAAAATATCTTGTTATACATCATTATTATTAAAAACTACAACATTCGCTAATAACTGATTACTATAATTGTGTTGCATTCATTTTTCTTACAAGCCTTATGTGCAGGCACACCATTTCTCTCCAGTAAAATAGTAGCAGCGAATATGTATGTGTGTGTGTGTGTGTGTGTGTGTGTGTGTGTATATATATATATATATATATATATATATATATATATATATATATATATGTAAAAGCCCTCTGTGTGAATAAATATTCTGATCTTTTTTTAAAAAAAAATAAAACTTTATTGTTCAGATTATTATAGTTGTTTCTATTTTTCCCCTCATAGCTCCCCTCCACCCTGTTCCCACACCACCACATGCCCTTACCGTGCCCACCCCCCGTCCTCATCCATAGGTGTAAGATTTTTGTCCAATCTCTTCCCACACCCCCATCCCCCTTCCCCCTGAGAATTGTCAGTCCACACCCTTTATATGCCCCTGATTCTATTATGTTCACCAGTTTGTTCTGTTCATCAGATTTTTTTATTCACTTGACTTTTAGATTCACTTGTTGATATGTATTTGTTGTCACTTTGTTGTTCATAATTTGTATCTTTACCTCTTTCTTCTTCCTCTTCTTAGAGAATACCCTTCAGCATTTCATATAATGCTGGTTTGGTGGTGATGAATTCCTTTAGCTTTTTCTGGTCTGTGAAGCTCTTTATCTGACCTTCAATTCTAATAATAGCTTTACTGGATAATCTTGGTTGTGGGTTCTTGCTATTCATAACTTTGGATATTTCTTGCCACTCTCTTCTGGCCTGCATAGTTTCTGTTGAGAAATCATCTGACAGTTATATGGTTATTCCCTTGGAGGTAACTGTTTTTCTCTTGCTGCTTTTAAGATTCTCACTTTGTCTTTTGACCTTTGCATTTTAATTATGATGTGTTTTGGTGTGGTCCTTCTTAGGTTCCTCTTATTTGGGGTTCTCTGATCCCAGACTTGTAAGTCTATTTCTTTCACTGGGTATGGAAAGTTTTCTGTCATTATTTCTTCAAATAGGTTTTCAATATCTGCTCTCTCTCTTCTACTGGCACCCTTATAATTCTGATGTTGGTATGCTTGAAGTTGTCCCAGAGGCTTCTTACACTATCTTTATATTTTTTTTATTCTTTTTTCTTTTTGCTTTTCTGTTTGGGTGTTTTTTGCTTCTTCATATTTCAAATCTTTTTAGTTGATTCTTGGGATACTCCAGTCTTCTGTTGAATCTCTGTATATTATTCTTTATTTCAGTAATTGTATGCTTAATTTCTGATTGATCCTTTTTCATATCTTTGAGGATCTCACTAAATTTCTTAGAGGATTCTAGAAGATTCCTGATTAACCTTATAACTGTGGTTTTGAAATCTAGACCCAGTATTATTTTGCTTTCATCCATTTCTTTCATTTGTGACTTGTTTAGTTGCTCATTTTGTCTGCTTCCCTGTGTTTGTTTTTATGTGCTGTGTAGCTGCTAAGTCTCCTTGAGTTGATAAAGTGGCCTTGTGTGGTAGGTGTCCTATAGGGCCCAGTGGCTCAGCTTCCCCAGTCACCTGAAGTGGACGCTCTTAGCTCCCCATTTGTGGGCTGTTTGCACAATCGCACAATCTTGTAGTTAATCCTTGATTGCTAATGGTATCACTGGGAAGAATTGACCTCTAGGTCAATTGGCTGTGATGACTAGTCTACATTGGAAGATCTTTGCATAGGAGACACCCTTATGGAGCAGGAATTCCTTCAGTGGGGCTTTGGTGCTTACTGAGTCTGTCCCTTGAGTGTGTCACTTATGGGTGTGAAGAGTTGTAATCTGGTATGCTCTCACACTGACCCCTGGGTACACTGGCTCTTGGATCTCCAAGGATGTGCAGGCCAAGCAGGAGCTACAGAGATATCTGCAGATTCTTTTTCTTTGTATGGGGTTTGGAAGTGCCCAGATGAGGCCCACTGCTTCTGCTGGGTTTTGGACCTTCTTTTGGAAGCTCTGGAGCTCTCTGACCCAACTGCAGGTTGACAGGTTTTAGACAGAAAAAGGACAGGCCATTCATATGCAAAAGCCTATACACACAACTTGGGTGGGGCGGGGTCTCTGGGAATCACCAGGGCAGAGCAAACAGAAATGGCTGCCAGTCAGGCCTGAACTGGGGAAGTCCTTGGTTCTCTGTGTGCTTTGCCCTGTGCAGGAACAATGATCACTGTGAGCACCTCTCAGAGAAAGCCACCCTAACGTTCCTGTCCCAATGCCAGATAGCCCAGTTTCTCCCCAGAGTCTCGCCCGGAACTAGAGTTCAGAGCAAGTGAGAGCTTGTATCTCACTCCTGGTTAAAAAAGCAGCACATCCAGATGCCAGCATTTTCCTAGCCTCCGCACTTCTTACCAGTCTCAATGCGCTTTTTTTACCTCTCTACTGGTAGAACTTTCACTCAGCCAGCTTTCTCGCAGTTCTGAGTGACAGTTCTGCCATTTAATCATGGTTTTGATATGGTTGTGAGAGGCAGCAAGTATAGGTGATTACCTATGCCGCCATTTTGGTTCTCTCAATATTCTGATCTTTTAATCTTTCCAAAACCTTAGCAAAAGGTTGACCATTTTTCTAGAGTATGCTTTCCTGACAAAAGTCTAGTTTTATCATCTTTTCCAATGTAGATAGGCTTAGAATGTCATGAAGTCCTGGTTTTAATTTTTTCCTTTATTGTTCTTCCCTCAATTTACCTCTTTCCTCTTGCATCTACACTAATAAGAGAAATATGTAAATTTACTGTCACTCCATGACACCCACTGAGTATGCAAATTAACCAGACAAAGATGGCAGCAGTTCCTCCCCCTCTCCCTCCCCCCCCCAGCTGCTCTAGGCATCTGGGCAGCATGCCTGCAGGCGTGGAGCGGCTGGGCAGGGCAGGAAATCTGCTATGAGGGGGAAGGCAAGGGGTGGAAGGAGCTACAGGAGTGGTGTTCCAGCTGGAGTGAAGACTGAAGCCTCCTGCTGGAGTGAAGATGGAAGGCAGTGGCCAGAGCGAAGGCCTGGGTCCCAGGTGCCAGAGGAAAGCCAGTGCTGACAGCCAGGGGAAGGAAGGTCTATTGCATGAATCTTTGTGCAACAGGCTTCTAGTTATACTATAAACAGCAAGAAAAAAAATAAGGCCATGATTTCAACACTTTGCTTGAAAATCACCTCAGTTTAATACCCAAATTCATCATTTATAACTGTTTTCCACAAAACTATGGGGCATAGTTCAGCTAAGATTCTTGTAACTATAAAACAAAGATCCTTTTAAGTTTCCAATAACATGTTCCTCATTTTCTTCTGAGCCTTACCATCAATGCCTTTATAATAGTTTGTTAAAGGCAATCTAGACTTTTTCTGTCATCTGACCCAAAATTCTTCCTGCCTCTACCCATTACCTGATTCCAAAGCCACTTCTACACTTTGATATTCACTACAGCATCACTACACTTCTCAGAACCAAAATCTGTATCACTTTCCTATTTCTGTTATAATAAGTTACCACAAACTTAGAGGCTTAAAACAACATACATTTATTATCTTACAGTTCTGGAGGTCTGAAGGTCAAATGAATTTATATGACTAAAATAAAATCAATGTGTCAGCAGGATTTATTTCTCCTGGAAGCTCCAGAGCAGAATCTGTTCCTTGCCAATTCCAACCTCAAAAGGCTATGAGCAATCCTTGAAAATCTTTGGTTCAAAGTTGCATCACTCTGATCCATTTTCGTTTTCTCATCTCTGTCTGCCTTCCTTTTATAAGGACACTTGTTATACATTTAAAGTCCATCTGGATAATACAGGATAATACTCCTCATCTCAATCCCCTTAATTTAATGATACCTGCAAAGTCTCTTTTGCTATATAAGGTAATTTTCACCGGTTCCAGGAACTACGATGTGGGTATCTTTGAGTGCCATTATTCAGCCTTCCACAAGGGTAGTTTAAAAATTCTTCATATCTTTTTTTTAGTTAATAGTGTAGTAAATTTGTTTAATGTGAAATCTTTAATAAGTTGTATAAACTTGTAATTTACAGTAATTTGTTTAATGTATCCATCACTAAATTTAATATGTAAATTGAATAAAATAAGTACTAATTAAAAATAATTATTATATTAAGAAATAGAATTTTTTCAACAGTATGGATGGACCTGGAGAGCATTATGCTAAGCAAAATAAGCCAGTCAGCGAAAGATAAATATCACATGATTTCACTCATTTGTGGAATATAATGAACATAAACTGACTAACAAAAATAGATAGAGAGACAAAGAAGCATCGAACAGACTGTCAGACTTCAGTGGGAAGGCAGGAGAGGGGTGGGGGTAGGGGTAATAGATTAACTAAAAGATTTTCATCTTTCATGCATGCATATAAGCATAATCAATGGACACAGACACTAGGGGGCAGGGTTAGGGCATGTGCGGAGGTGGCGGGGTTGGGATGGTGGACCTGGCCGGGGTAGGGGGAAGTCTATGGGGACAAAAGAAGACATATGTAATACTTTAAACAATAAAATAAAACTTAAAAAAATAAAATATACTTTGGAAAAACAAGAAATAAAATTTTTTTAATATTGTCAGCCAATTCGTTACACGACAAAGTATAAAAGACCTAAACACAAGTTCTTTGGCTACTATTCTATGTAAAGTTAGCAAGTATTCAAAATAGAAATATAGGTCCCAAGAAAGGAGAGAACATGTTAGTTAAGCACACACTTGGAATGAAGATACAAAATTGCCTCGTAACAGTCACACAATATGTACCAAAGAGTTGAGAAAACACAGCTAAAATGATCAAGCCTGCTCAGTATCCATAGGGTTAAAAACTTAGATTCCAGAGACTCAAAATTCTTTTTAAGATCCAGTTTAATAAATCAATATGAGATAAAAATAAAAATAAAAATGAAAGAATCCCTGGCTTGTATCAAATACTGCTCTAATTCTAACAGAAAATTCAATATCCTTACCTAGGCTGGAATAAATGTGGCTGAGAATACGAGCTGGTTGTACTCTGAAGGGGGACACCTCAGCAATGGTCTCCACATCAATTCCCTTGTCCTTTAAAATGGCCTTAATTTCTTCTGTCTCAGCTAGAATGGAAACTGTAAGGAAGAAAGATGAGATCAACAGAAATTTTATTTCAGTAAGAATTTAAAATCCCTCAAGCAACATAATTTTTTTTAAGAGAAGAGAAAGTAAAGTAGAGGAAATCAGTAATTGCTGGAAAACATTCATAAAACAATTATCATGTTAGGTACATAATGATTATTATCTAAATAGCAAAGGAAAAAAAGACTTCATGACCAGAGTATCATATTCTATTTTTTGATCAAGTATTGTGTTCCTAGAGAATGCCACACCCTTTTTATATCTGGGATTCCATGTTTAAATATGAAAAATTCTAACATGTTGTGTGTTATAGCTTTGATGAAAGTTAATTCCCCAAGATTCTCTCAAATCCATACCCTTAAGACCAGGGCTAGGATTACAAGTGTAATAAAGAATACACTAATCAGAATACACTAATAAAAATTGCTCTATAGCTAAAGAATGGTAGAAGGCAAGGTAAATTGAAAATAAAGAATTGAGATATGACCGTCGAAATTGTGTGTGGTTATTTTTTTTGCAAGGGGGAGGGAATAGGGATAAATTCTTTTCTAGACTCAGAGCCTGCTAAGCCTGGACAGCTCCATTTTGTTCTTCTTACACTAATGCCTCTGATGTAGTCATTGTACTTACAAAAGAGGAGACCAGGCCAGCTCCCTGTTCACTCCCCGTCTATGAGACAGATATTTGACACTAAGTACCAGGAACAAACATGCACCCAATTCCTATTCCACTAGTGATGGTATATGTGTTGGATTGGGTTCATGGAAAAATGAAGGTACCACTTGATTCATTCCATCTTACCAGTATTCTTTATGTTGAGGGGTTTTTCTTTGTTGTTTTTATTTGTTAGTTTGTTTTTGTTGTTGTTGTTGATTTGTTTATTTATTTGTTTTTAGCAAAAGCCTCGTTAACAAAGTGATGATTGGCTCTCCTTTGCCATTATATTTTGTGTATTTTTCAAGCTTGGGAACATTATGGTGTTGTGTTGCTGTGGTCTAAGTTAGGATATGCAGAATATGGTTATTACAGAGGCTCCTGGATATAACATCATCTTGATTACTTATTTTTTTTAATTTTTATTGAATTTGTTGGAAACATAAAGAGAACAAAGATTCTCCAGGGACCATATACAGAGGAAGAACGATAATAGGCTGAGAAAAATCCAGGGGTGCACATGTGGTCACCCATTCATTCATTAATAAACATTTACTATGCACATAAATAATGAGGTACTATGCTTGGCACTAGGGATATAGAGATGAATAAATTATTCTCTCCCTTAAGAATACATAGTGTAATGAAAGTGGCATACACATAAACTGATTCTAAAATAACCTGCTAGGTAAATAGAGGTATATACAAAACATGAAACCACCCAAGAGTGATACCTAGTCTGGGGTTGGCAGGAAATAGTTTCAGAAAGGGCTTCCAAAAAGAGTTATTTAAACTGAGTTTGAAGGAATGAATAAGTTAGCCAGAGAAAGAAGGAACTAGGAAAAGGAAAAAGATCCAGAAAGATCATAAAGCATAGAAATGAAAAAGAATGTGGTTGCATTGGGGAGGAGGAGCACAGTGGAACTACTTGTACTTCAATATTGCCATAGCATAAAGTACCCATAAAGTGGCAAAAAGAATAATATAAAAAGGCAAACATAATGGAGGGCATATGTGTCACTTTAAGTATTTTTTAATACACACACACACACACACACACACACACACACACACATATATATATATATATATATATATATATATATATATATTTTTTTTTTAAACAGAGAATTAGAAACATGGATTAGCTGCCTCCTGCACACTTCCCACTGGGGATGTGCCTGCAACCAAGGTACATGCCCTTGACCGGAATCGAACCTGGGACCCTTCAGTCCATAGGCTGATGCTTTATCCACTGAGCCAAACCAGTTGAGGCACTTTAAGTATTTTTAAAAACTTTATTCTTGGGTAATGATTTTTGTACTTTATTCTACTGAGCCTCATGGGGTCTGCACTGGGCAATGCAATTGGTAGCAGGAGTAGAGAAGACTGAATGAGAAGCAATTGAACAACACTCTGGGGCCCCAGGAATGGTTCCAACCCCAACAACTCGGCTTTTTGTTTATTTTATGTTTTATAAAACATTTAGAAAATGTGGGGGTTTTTGGTACCACTTGGTAGGCACTAACAAATGCTAGTGATACAAAGATGATCTCTGAAAAAAATGACATTGACATTGTGTCCAGCTAGATGGATGAATGGGACTTAATCTGATAAAGGTGACGGTAAAAGTAAAGGAGAAATTGTTCCAGACAGAAGAAACAGCATAGACAAAGGTTCAAGGGCAACTAAAAACAATGCAGATCTAGGAATTATAAAAAGTTCTTACAGGAGTGGCATGGAGTATGAAAGGGAAGTGGTGAGGAAGGATACTTGGGATAGAGTCAGGAACCAGGTCATAAAGAGTATGGTAAGCCATGTTAAGGAGGTTGGCAATGTGAAGCCCCTGCAGAATTGAATCAGGGTAATAACATATATATAGCTTTAAAAGAATATGTTCATGTTGATGATTACAGAATAAAGTAATAGATTATAGTGGGCTTAGACTGAAGTCTGGGAGACCACTTAAAAAGTTATTATAGACTAGAGGCTGGATGCATGAAATTCGTGTAAGAGTAGGCCTTCCTACCCCTGGCTGCCAGCACTGGCTTCTCTCTGGCACCTGGGACCCGGGCTTCCCTTGCAGCCCCAGCTTTATCCAGAAGGTCATCTGGAAAGACATCCAGTCTAATTAGCATATTATGCTTTTATTATTATAGATTAGGATCATGCCATTGGCACTGGAGAGAACTACACGAATTTCACAGCTATTTAAGAAGTAAGGAAAGTAGGACTTGTTAATTGGTTTCTTTAGGATATAAGAAAGGGAGAGATATAGAAAATGATTCTCCAAGTACTTATGTGTATAACTGGGAGGATATTGTACCATCTAATGACACAGGCACATAGGGAGAAAAGCAGGCATAAGTAATGTAGTAAGAGGTGTCAGCTGAATGATTTTAGCTGTGTTGAGTTTAAAGTGCATGTGAGAAATCTGAGTGGGGCTTTCTAAAAGGACACCCTACATAAATTAAAGAGTATTAGCATAGAAAGAGATGAGATGGGTCAAGGAGAATATATAGAGAAAATAAGAGAATCTAGACTATAACCATGAAAAACTGCAACATATAAGAAGGGAGCAGATAAAGAAAAGCCTGGGGTAGGAGTAAGGGGTTTTTATCTCATACCTTATATTTTCTTTGTAATAGGAGGTGAGGTCATCTTCTGAGAGGGAAGAAGGAGGCAGAAAAAGAAAAAAAATATTTGAAATAGGAGGACCCTGAGAGACAAGAACAAATATTCTCAGTTAGAGGAACAGTGGTCTACAGAAAGAACTCTCAGGAAGAACAACAATTAGGGGGCAAAGAAAAGAAGAAAGCCCAAAATGAAACAAAAACGTGAAAAATTTAGGTTGAAGGAGAACTAAGAGAATATGGTATCACAGAAGAGTTAAGAATGTCCATAAAGATAAACAATAAATGAAACATAAAGATCAACTAATATATGAATTAAAAATAATCTATTGAGTTTGGTAATAACTTAAGCAAAAGAATTTTCCTAGGAGTATTGAGCTACTATAAGGGATTGCAGAATGAATGAAATAAAAAGAAGGGGAAGTTTGGTTGAAAAAGGGAGGATAGGATAACTAGAGGGAGATGAACATGTCATGGACTAAAAAACAGAACCAACTTAAATTTTTGAAGATTAAAGAGTTGTATTTTAAGAAGGCTAAGGAAGAGAATAGACTCAAACATCTGAAAAAAAAAAAAAGCTGGCCTTGAAGATGAGAACAGACACCTTTTCTGAGACTGGAGGGAAGGAGGCAAAGATGGGTGGAGATATAAGTAAGATTGTGGTGTGGGAAGAGGATGGGAAGCTGACACAGATCCAAAATATTAAGATTATCCAGCATGAAGTAGAAGGCCAAAAATGTAGCTGAATTCAAGAAGTGGTGTTGAAAAGATAAGGTTTGGAATAGTAGTTGAGAAGAGTGAAAATGCTGGCTAACAATAAGAACAAGGCACTGTGGATCTAGCTGAGTTGGGGACCAAGAATTTACAGTGCTATCACTCTGTTCATTTGTGTGACTTTTTCTAGTAACTTTAGCAGGTCAGGTGTAGGATCAGAAAATGCTGATTGTCCAATTGATCTGGGGCTGATTTTTCTGGTGGGTGTAGTAGAAGTATGGTACAGTGGTGTTTAAGATATTCAGATGATCAACCAAGAAATAGGACAAGGCAGATTAGAAGAAAATAGAGACAAGTATAATGGGAGGAAAAATAAAACAAATAATATGTAACTATGACTGGAGACGGGGATTTTTCGAAGTGAAAAATATCTGAGGTGGTTCTAAAGTTTTGTCCTTGCTCTTCAAACTGAGTGGCTAATGTAGAAGTGGAAGTAAATGTTAGTACGGCTATGTATATCAAAAAAATTTGATGCTAAAATGCTGAAATTTAGCACTATAGTAGGAGCTGGAGAAGAAAGCTGTCAGCCAAGCATCAATGTCTTCAATGAATGAATTAGAGCAACCAGGAGATCAGTATATCCAGATGGCATAAGCCTCAAAGGAGAACAAGCTTTCTCATGGGAGGGGAAGAGGAATGATTTTTTTAATTATGTTTGCTATATGCATTGATAAGCAAAAACTACCTATATGTCCACATAGGTGTCAAGTATAAGAAAGTTTAGAACACACACAAGATTATTTTGGATATATAACCAACCCTAAAGTCAAGTGGCTGGAGACCTTTCAGAGAAGGGTCACAGAGAGACTTAGTACCATGTTAGACTGTGTTATTGGAGAGTCAAAACCACCTCAAACTTTCTACTCTAGGAGACTAGGACAGCAGTGAAGTAATTGAGACAGATAAGGAAAGTAGAAAGATCTGCTTTTCTTGGGAGAGGTGATATGAGGGGATGGAGTCAAGGTTTGCATTTGAAGTGGAAGTGATAAAGATATTTTATAGGTATTGGGACTAGAATTCTTAATACCTTAGAATTTAGCCCAGTGTTTTTTATAGAATAGGTACGTCAACATTTTTTATGATTGTTAGGAACAAAAAGTAAAGGTTTGGAGGCAATAGTTGAAGCCATATAAACAACTTTATTATGAAAGAGGAAGCCCTAACACAGGGTGTAAATCTTGAAAGACAATAATATAAGACTAAGTACACAACCATTAGGAGGATATGAGAAGAAAGGAGTAATAGCAGAAAAAAACATGGAAGGAATGCTCAAAAAGAAAGCAGATATAATCAGGAAGCTATATTATCACGATGATGAAAAAGAAAAGTGCTTCCAGCAGTAAGGAGTGGTTAAGTGTCAAATAACATAATTTATTAAGCATTTGTTCATAATTAAGATTAATAGCAATTTTGAAAAGAAACAGAACCACATTAATTCTATATTTTTATTTTTATTTTTTATTATTTTTTAATATATATTTTATTGATTTTTTGCAGAGAGGAAGGGAGAGAGAGAGAGAGCTAGAAACGTTGATGAGAGAGAAACATCGACCAGCTGCCTCCCGCACACCCCCCACCGGGGATGTGCCCGCAACCAATGTACATGACCTTAACCGGAATCGAACCCGGGACCGTTCAGTCCGCAGACTGACGCTCTAGCACTGAGCCAAACCGGCGTTGGCATCATTCTATACTTTTTAAACCCTTATAAAATACATGATAAAGAATAAAGTCTGACCAGCTTGTATGGCTCAGTGGTTCAGTATAGACCCATGAACTAGAATTCCTGGTCTGGGCACATGCCTGAATTGTGGGCTCTATTCCCAGTAGAAAAGGAGCAGGAGGCAGCTGATGGATGATTCTCTCTCATCATTAATCTATCTTTCTCTTCCTCTCGCTAAAATCAATACAAACATATTTTTTTAAAAATAAAATAAAATAAAATCATTTACTGGCCAAACCAGATCTTTAATATAGCTTCTGTTTCTGTGAATAAAAATACATACCTTGAACCACAACATCTGGCTTTGGTACAGTTGAAAACCTACGATTCAGGGGATCAATTTCTCCAGGAGCTAAAAATCCCTAAAGAAAAACAGTAAAAAGACAACTTATTACATTTCAAAAAAGCTATTGTTTAAGGATAAACAACATACAAGTGCCACAACCCTGTACCATAACAGATAAAAGGAAACAAATACCTTCACAGTATGAAATGTTTAAACTCCTGAATTCTTATCCAAATTAATTTTAGCTAGAGTTAATTTTTAGAGGCTACCACAAATCCATTTTTGGAAATAGGGTATAAATAACATATAAAAAGTTTTCTAGTTCTACTTATATCTTCTTTTGATGTATATGATTAGACAATAAGACCACAGTGCTTATTATCAATATTTTAACTCATTAGCCTGTTGATTCCTCAATAATTTGCAATGCTTTCTGCTTAGCAGATATGTTTTAATTTTTAACTTTTATTTATATATATATATTTTTTTATTATTGATAATATTACTGATGCCACCCATTTCCCCCCACCTTTTTGCCCTTCCACCCTGCCCCTATCTACTCCACCAGGTCTTCACCACCCTATTGCCACTGTCCATGGACTATGCACATAAGTATGTAAGTTCTTCGGTTTATCTCTTCTCATCCATCCCACACGTACATCCAGAAATGTTGATCTGTTCTATGCAACCATGATTCAGGTCTTATTTTCTTGGTCAATTCATTTTGTTCATTATATTCCATGAATAAATGAGATTATTTGATATTTGTCTTTCTCAGATTGTCATGGATCCAAGTCCATCCATGTTGTCCCAAAAGGTAAGAGACCTCTCTTTTTTACAGGTGCAAAGTATTTGATTGTGTAAATGTATCACAGTTTTGTTTGTTTTTTTATTCATTAATCTACTGACGGGCACTTGAGCTGTTTCCAAATCTTAGTTATTGTTAATAATGCTACTATGAATTTAGGAGTGCATATATTATTTCTGATAGGCATTTCGGATATATTCCTAGAAGTGTGATCACTGGGTCAAATAGAAGTTCCATTTTAAATTTTTTGAGAAAACTCAATACTTTTTTCCATAGTGGCTGTACCAATCTGCATTCCCACCAACAGTACACAAGGGCTCCTTTTTTCTCGGCATCCTTGCCAGCACTTGTTTGTTGATTTGTTGATGACAGTCATTCTGACAGGTGTGAGGTGATATCAGATTGTGGTTCTAATTTGCATTTATCAAATGATCAGTGACTCAGAATTTTTTTCACATGTCTCTTGGCCACTTGTATGTCCTCATTGGAGAAATGTCTTTTCAGATCCTCTGCCCATTCCCCCACCCACATTAGATTGTCTTCCTTTTGTTGAGTTGTATAAGTAATTTACATATTTTGAATATTAATCCCTTACCAGGTGTATCATTGACAAATATGTTCTCTCATACAGTGAGTTCCATTCTGATGGTGGTTTCTTTTAGTGTACAGAAGCCTTTTATTTTGATATAGACTCATTTATTTTTTCTTTGTTTCTCTTGCCCTAGGACAGTGGTCGGCAAACTGTGACTCACAAGCCACATGTGGCTTTTTGGCCCCTTGAGTGTGGCTCTTCCACAAAATACCATGGCCTGGGTGAGTCTATTTTGAAAAAGTGGCAATAAAAGAAGTTTAAGTTTAAAAAATTTGGCTCTCCAAAGGAATTTCAATCATTGTACTGTTGATATTTGGCTCTGTTGACTAATGAGTTTGCCGACCACTTCCCTAGGAGATGTATCGACAAATATTTTTCTATGTAAGATGCCTGAAACTTTACTATATATGTTTTCTTCTAAGATTTTATAGTTTCATGGTTTACATTTTAGTCTTTTATCCATTTTGGATTTATTCTTGTGAATGGTATACTAAGTTGGTTGTCTAGATTAATCTCTTTGCATGTGTTTGTCCAATCTACCCAGCATCATTTGTTGAATGTTCTTACTCCATTGTATGGTATGGGTAAACTTTTGGGGACTCTGTTCTGTTCCATTGATCTATGTGCCTATTCTTATGTCAATACCAGGCTGTTTTGATTCTAGTGGCTTTATAGTATAATTTAATATGTGGTATTGTGACCTGCCAATTTTATTCTTCTTTTTCAAGATTGCTGCAGCTATTTGGGGTCTTTCATGGTTCTATATAAATTTTTGGTGTATTTGTTCTAATTGTGTGTAGTATGCCATTGGTATTTTAATAGGGACTATGATCAATCTATAGATTTCTTTGGGTAGTAAGGGCATTTTAATGATGTTAATTCTACCAATGAATGAACACAGTATACATTTATATTTGTTTGTATTGTCCTCTACTTCTTTTTTCAACACCCTATAGTTTCCCAAGTACATGTCTTTTTTTTCTTCCTTGGTTAAGTTTATTCTTAGGTATCTTTTTGTTGTTGTAATGGTAAATGGGATTTTTTGTTTGTTTGTTTCTCCTTATGAGAGTTCATTATCTATACATATAAAAGGCTAATACGCTAAGTGTCCAGGTAATGATATCACATAGCGACACCCAGCTTCCTCTTCCTAGCAACTAACCTTCTTGTAGATTCTTCAGCTCAGGAACACGACTTGCTTTATAGCCAGGTGCAAACATTTCACAGTTTAATTAAATATTTGTGAAGCGTGTTTATGTGCCTCATCTCATTTGATCCTCACAGAAGTCCTGGAGTAGGTAGATAGGAGACTCTGTAGAATTCTATTTTATTTTCATTAGTTGGAAAATGGAGATTTAGAAAGCTTAGAAACTTGACCTGACTGAAAAGAAGTAAGAAATGGTGGACCTTGAAAATAACTTCAGGTTTTCTCACTGCACAGAATATAGTCAATCATTGCTGCAGTTAAATATTTTAACCTTTGTTCTCCCTGCATGATCTACAATAATATCTGCTTTGTGTTAATATTTACTGCTATGTTGCTAACAATTACCTGAAAGAGAGGTTGGGATGCTTCACTGGGCTAGAAAAAGATTGGCTAAATTAGAAAGCAGGTCTAGTTAAGCAAGTTTATTCTATATCTATAAAAGGCTAAGTTGACTCGCACATGTACAGTACATATAAAGCTCTAGCTAGCGCCAATTGCGTGTGTGTTTCCATCTGTCATTGTTGATAGTGAATTTGGTTGACACTTCTATTATAAAGGATGAATAGTGATATTAAAATATTACTTCTAATTAATATCCTTTCAATGTGTGCAAATTTGTGCACCAGGCCACTAGCTGGAATATAAAACTATCATCGATTTCAGGATGTTAATTTTGTATCCTGCTATTTTGCCAAATTCATTTATTAAATCTAGTAGTCTCCTGGTGGAATCTTTAGGGTTTTTTATGTACAATATATGTCATTGATGAATAATGACAGGCTTACTCCTTTCCAATTCGGATGTCTTTTATTTTATTTCTTGTCTCATCCTTGTAGCTAGGACTTCCAGTACTATGTTGCATAAGAGTGGTGAAAGTGAACATCCTTGTCTTGTTCCTGTTCTTAAGGGAAATAATTTTTGCCTATTGAGTATTATGTTGTTTGTAGATTTAACATATATGGTCTTCGTTATATTGAGGTATGATCCCTCTATTCCCACTTTGCTGAGAGTTTTTATCCAAAAAGGTGCTGGGTGATTTTTTTCAAATGCTTTTTCTGCATCTATTGATATGATCATGCGATTTTTATTTTTCACATGTGATATATGACATTTATTCATTTATAAATATTGTACCAGCTTTGCATCCCTGGAATAAATACCACTTGATCATAGTGTATGATCCTTTTAATATATTACTAGATCCTATTTACTAGCATTTTGTTGAGGATTTTAGCATTTGTATTCTTCAGGGATATTGGCCTGTAATTTTCTTTCTCTGTAGTGTCTTCACCTGGTATTGGAATGAGGCTAATGCTGGCTACATAAAAAGAGCTTGGGAGTGTTTCTTCCTCTTGAATTTTTTGGAATACTTAGAGGAGGATAGGTATTAGTTTTTTATTATTATTAAATTATTATGTGTGCACATATCTTACCATTCCCCCTCCTATTATACCCTCCCTCCCCAGAGTTTTGTGTCCATTGGTTGTACTTATATGAATGTATACAAGTCCTTCAGTTGATCTATTATCTCCCCCAGATCTCCCTACCCTCCCCGCTGTAATTTGACAGTCTGCTTGTTGCTTTACTGTCTCTATATCTATCTTTTGGTTCATCAGTTTATAATGTTCTTTATTATCCATAAATGAGTGAGGTCATGTGGTGTTTCTCTTTCATTGACTGGCTTATTTCACTCAGCATGATGTTCTCCAATTCCATCCAGGTTGCTGCAAATGATGAGAATTTCTTCTTTTTTATGGCAGCATAGTATTCCTTTGTGTAGATGTACCATAGTTTTTAGTTCTTCTTTGAATGTTTAGTAACGTTCTCTTGTAAATCCATTCAGACCAGTACTTTCCTGTGCTGGGAGTTTTAAAATCACTACTTCAATTTCATCAGTTGTCTTATTTCAGTTTTCTGATTCTTCCTGATGGAGTTTTGGGAGACTATATGTTTCTAGAAATTTGTCCATTTCACCCAGGTTGTTCAGTTTGTTGGCAAATAGTTATTCATAGTATTTGCTTACAATTATTTGTATTTATGTGGTGTCTGCTGTTATATTGCCTCTTTCCTTTCTGATTTTATTTACTTGTGTCCTCTCTGTTTATGAGTCTGGCTAAGGGTTCATCAATCTTGTTCATCTTTTCAGAGAACCAGCTTTTGGATTCACTAATCTTTTGTACTTTTTTTTGTATCTGTCATTTATTTCAGTCTAATCTTTATTATTTTCTTCCGTCTACTTCCTCTGGGCCATTCCTGCTATTTTCTTTCTAATACATTTAGTTGTAGGGTTAGGTAGTTTATTAATGCTTTGTATTGTTGCTTGAAGTAGGCCTGTAATGCTATGAACTTCCCACTCAAGACTGCTTTCACCTATCCCGTAGGTTTTGGGGTGTGTGCATTCATATTTATTTGTTTCCAAGAAGTTTTTAATTTCTTGCTTAATCTCACTGGTAACCCATTCACTGTTTA